GGGGTTTTCCTGGTGGCTCAGAGGGTAAAGCGTCTGTCTGCAATGCAGGAGACCCGGGTTTGATCCCTGGGTTGGGAAGATCCCCTGGAGAAGGAAATGGCAACCCACTCCAGTACCCTTGCCTGGAAAATCCCACGGATGGAGAAACCTGGTAGGCTACAGTCCATGGGGTCGCAAAGAGTCGGACACGACTGAGCGATTTCACTTAACCCCACACTCAACTGCACTGTTTTCACTTACACAGAAAGCCCAGAACTATTTTAGGGGAGGAGCCCTGGTGGTAACTCTTACCTTTACTTGTCACCAAACCAAGGGACTCCCCCTTCGTGTCTAAACTTGATGAGTGAAGTGAGATCATCACCATGAAAAGATTTTTATTAGGTCCTCACTTCCTGAACCTCATTCACAAGCAGCATCTTTAGAAACTTTTTTCTTGCCTCATCTCAAACCTCAACTAATTTTCTTAGCCTGGTTTTCCATCTACACTGGTGATAAAACAATATTGTCAAAGATACCCAAAGGCCCTACTAAATCTAAACGCTCCGGCCTCATCTGTGTCCCATGGAGACCTGTCAGGACAAAATCGACCCCAAGAAGAGGCCAGTGTGTCTGCTAGGAGGTCCGGTGAGGCCTGAGAGGCCAGCCAATCCTGGTCAGTGAGATCGAGGTGGCTTCAGCGCTGCGTCTGGTGCTCAGCGTGAGGAGTGAGTGCCCGCCAGAGTCTCGGGGCTGCCCTGGGGCAGGGGAGATGGGAGTCTGACCGAGGACGGTGTCTGCTCCTCCGCTGGCCACATTTCAGTAGACAGGGCGTGCTCACTCCCTGCAGAAGGGAGCACAAACCAGGGCCCTCTGCCCTTCCTGGATCAATCCCCACCCCAGCTACTCAGGAGAAGCACAGCTTTCACAGAGCGATGGGGTCAAATACACCTCCTGGCCCTGTCTCATCTCTGACTTGTCTCAGCTGCAGGACAGATCTTGGAAAAGAGGCAACTTGGGGCCTTTTCTCTGCCCCTAACCTAGACCATGGCCCCCACCAGGGCTGGGACGAGGTACACAGAGGGCCCCAGAGAGCACCTGACTTTTGTTCTTCTCCCTTCCACACATGGCTTCCCTTCTTTTCTTTCCTCCAGGAAGCTCCACCTTGGAGCAACTTCAGAGATTAAAAGAGATTAATGACGGTGGCAGGATGGGCATGTCTACTAATGCTCACTTTCTGCATTTCTGCTTATAGATCAAAGTGGCAAAATCCCCAAGAAATAGAGCCTAGAGTAGGTGTGTTGAGTGTGTTCTCAGTTGTGTCTGACTCTGCGACCTCATGGACCATAGTGCGCCGGGCTCCTCTGTCCATGGAATTTTCCAGGCAAGAATAGTTGAGCAGATTGGCTATTCCTCCTGCAGAGGATCTTCCCAGCCCAGGGGTCAAACCTGCATCTGCTGTGCCTCCTGCATTGGCAGGAGGACTCTTCACCACTGTGCCACCTGGGAAGCCCTTAGAGTAGGTAAAGAGTAATAAATGCTGGCTGGACACATTGAATTGACCGATAAGTTCTCTCCTTTTAAGGACAAACAGTCCAGAATTTGGGGTACACATCCTGTTGCTACTGTAGCAGTTCAACCCACTAAATATGGACAAGAACTCAGTCTCTCTGCCTCATTGGGAAAATCAATTTTTTCTTTGGCAGATGGTTGAGTCACAAAGACAGAAGGATTCATAAAATTCACATGAACATCCTGTAAACATTTGAACACATAAAGATTAAATACAGCAATCATGACCTTGATTTAAGTTACTGTTTTTTTTCTTTCTTAAATGTTTCCAACCCTAAGCCTTGCACTTTGGAGGTTCATCTCCCCACACCTTTGGACAAGCTCAATTCTCACTGAGCAAGTCGTGTGTACATACAAGCACGTGCCGTTTGATTAATTTTTTTCAAAATGTGAAATAAAAGGCATCAGAAGGAAGTAATGATTTGGAACACCTAAACACCAAAATCTTACTAGTCCTCTATTAAATCGGACGGGCTCGACAACAGAGAGAATCAGAACAAGATCAAAGAGGCAGAGGGATAGAAAACCTTCGAGGTGCCTACTCTGTTTCAGCCCCTCCCCCTCACCAACTAATTGTCTTATCCCCACCAGACACATTGGCCCAGGACTCCATTCTGCTATGATTGAAAAGTCTGACCTAAAGAGGCGAAACGATTTACTCCGACTCACAAACAGACTGATGGGACTTGAGCCATGACCCCTGCGGCTTCAGTCAGACCTACATCCCCCCGACCTCGGGAGCCCAACATCAAAGCTGTGCCCCCACCAACACCCCACCACAATCAGCTTGTGAGATTAGCACTGCCCTCCCACAGTGAAATTTTATGGACCAAATCTGCCTGCCGCCGGGGCTCAGCAGCATAATCTCGCCAGCAGCTTAAAGCCACGCTTCTGGAAGGCCAGAGCCCGGTGGGGCTCCAGAGAGGGAGAGGTGATGTGTGGCTTTAAACATCTGGAGGGGGGAAGCATACACGTGTCAGCACTCTTGTCAGACTGTTCAATAAGCCCAGGCTTTGAGGATTCTCCCAGCGGTGTTTGTTACCTGGTGTAAATTTGCCCTTTCTTACATGGCTTTTTATTGCTCTTGGCTAAGAATACTGGACAGAGTCGGGAGACCAGACTTGCGGGCGGGGCAGGCCACTTTTACAGAACTTGAACTTGATGCGCCTGAAGCTGACAGTTCCTTGAAGGCCTTGTCAACCATCCATCCAGTAAACACTGCCACTACCCAGAGTGAAAAACAGACCCAAACCCACAGGCACATAGCAAGACTCCCTGCACCTGTCTTTTGGAACTTGTTTTCCCAATATTTAGCAGTGTGAATACTAATCCCCTTAACAAAACTGCCCCCACGCTTCCCTCCCTCCCCCCCACCCCGGCTTCATCTCTTTCTCTCCAGGGAGGAGGGCGGGTGCTGGATACCAGTCCCTCTGTTTGGCACCACCTGGATTTGCATGGATTCCGGCTCTTGTCATTCATGTTACCAACAGGAATTAGCATAAGGCGTTAAGGGGAAACTCTGGAGGAGCCAAGAAAGGCCATTTTGATGGAAATAAGGGGCAAAGGAATAATCTGCCATCAACTAAAATGCTTATTTGTGTATGGTTTCCCAAGTAAAGCTTAGGGGAAAAAAAAATAAAAAAGCCTGTGTTGATTTTCGTGTACACAAAGAAACCTTAATCCTTTCAAGGCAACTAAATCACCCCCAGAAAAGCAGCTCAGAAGAAAGGCACCCTGTCAGAAGGAGGACTATTCACAACCAAATAGATGCCACAAATCACACTCTGTAAGTAAACAAAAATAAGGATGTGGGAGACGTTTGATTGGAAAGGGGGCAGGGGGGCGCGGGGTGGGGGGGAGCAGCAGGGAGGACGCAGAGGGAGGGAGGTCACACAAGGCGGCTCACCACCCACCCCTCCTCCTGCGCCCTGAAGGGCGGCTTTCAGCCCGCTGAGGGCAGCCGGGCCTCAATGCAGAGCCGACTCTCAGGCCAGGGCTGGCTGATCCCAGAGAGGGGACACACATTCCAGAGCTTTCCCAGCAAGCTGGCAAGACAGACACGGTCACGTGGGCTGCGGGGGTCCCGTGGAAGCGGGTGGGGCGAGTGCTACTGAGACAGAGCACCTCCTTTGGAGGACCTCAGGTCCGCCGCAGGCTCCTCCTCCTGTCTTACAGGGCCCCACGACCATCTACCATCCTCTTGCCTTGTCAAAACGAGCAATAAACAATCGCACGTTTTCCCATACGAGCCCTGTACGCTATGAACTGTCACGTATCTTCTTTTATTGGGCTTTTAGCATTATGGACAACAAATTTATACAAACTTTCAGTCCATCAAAATATACGATGAAATATAAAACTGGAATACTCCATTATGCAATAAAAAAAGATAAAATTCAATATGACAATAATTCTGGGAATAACAGCAATCACATAAGCATGCACACCTCCAGGGAACGCTAAACATAATGTACTATTTAAAATTGCAGTTGGTTCGAATTCTAAAGTAATCGGGGAGCTCAAAATAACTGCACTTCGGAATGTGTCTGACTAACCAGCTAGCAAAAACGCTAGCCAAGGCCAGTGGAGAATGTGGACATGGTTTCAAAGATCACTTTGTGAAGGCCCAACCCTGTTCAAGCTAGCCAGTATCTTCCATGTAACACAGAAGGTGACCAGGGCAGGAAGCATACATTCTGCATTTAGCAATTATGATGCAAACATCACGTTCTATGGTGGAGAGGAAGAGATCAAAGAATTCACATAGTTTATACCTTTCAAAGAATACATCTTTGCAAAAACCCGGTATTAGAAGTTCCCTTAAATTTCATTATTCCCAACAATACTGCAAACAATGAAAACCGCCCAGAAACCTATCGGTAGTGATTTAAGGTAAGTTTCCCCTTAATGTACTGCAATATCATTAGCCTCTCAGCCTCTACTGCAGTTTGGAAGAAATTAATGGAATAGCATGTATTTAAATTTTGCCCTCTTGCTCGTTTATTAACTTCACAGAAAGCCCACAGCAGAGTAAGGCTTGGTTTATGACCATAATCCTGTGAATACTAAACATGTACTGGTTATTAGAGTCTGCAGTACAAACCAGCTATTTATCGTTCTCCAACTGCTGGGTAGTTGATAACTAACAATAAAGTTAAGGCATCCTGAGAATGATTATTCTCCATGATCACTTCCTACATTAAATGAAAGTCACAGAGACGTAGTCATTTCTTAGGCAAATCAATTTAAATAAGGATTCAATGTGTTCTTTTACAATAAACTGTTTTGGGAAACATCAGGAAAGCACAGATTTTGTCTCAAGCAAAAATACAATTATGAACAGGAGCTCCAGAATGGTAAGGGATGACCATTGTTCTTTCTGCTTTCATTCAAGGCAAAGACAACAGAACAAATCGGAAAATAAACTACAGCTCGGATTTAAGGGCTCTTACCTTTGTTTATAACAGTATTGAAGAGTTTTTCAGAGCTGGCATCTGAGGCCTGCAACACAAGAAGCGGGGGAAAAAGAGTTATCGTTATCATGAATACTGTCATCACTAGCATCACTACTATTATTTTAAATCAATTTACTCCATTTTTGAAAAGCCTGAAAAGGAAAGCAGTGATTTCCCCCAATCCTCCATAAGGTGGTGCTGGTTGACTGCATGAGGCAGACCTGCAGTGCAGCTATTTGCTAAGGGGGAAAAAAATCTGATTTTAAAAATGTGTCCTTATTAGACATATTATCTGTGCAAAACATATTTCTATGAGATGATACACAAAGCAATTCAGCTCATTCACATAATGATTTTGCAATTTCATTGACAGATCATTACTTTGGAAATGGTACTTTTTTCCACATTTGCAGACATGCCTGTTCTTCAATTTTCTCTAAGAAACCAGAAATGCCTATTATTTAACACTAAGCCTCTCCTCACTAAAAAGTGTTGTCCAGCACTCCCTGAAATTCGTTTTTAAAGATTTATCTGATGACCCCGAGGTCCTTGTCCCCTGTGGTAACCAGGACGACCTTGGTGTTGAAATGAAACCCAGCCGACCTGCCCAACACGCTGACACTATATACACTGTCAGCATTATTTCCTTTCCATTTTCTAGAAATCATGTCTGCTAATTATTACAGTGGCTCCAGGAAAGTGAAATAAGCCTGTTTAAACAGCAAGAGTAAAGCCAATTTAAATTATACACTAATGTTCTGGAAAATCAACACAAAGTCGGTTTGGAGGAAAATGCTATGATGTTTCAGAAGCACTGTACTTCTACAATTTGAAAAATTAAAAAAAAAAAAAAACTTAAAAATTAAGCAGCTCCATTATGGAATAATTAGAGAATGTACCTGCATTTAAAGTTATAATGGTTATATTTATGTTATTTTTGCTACCCAACCATTGTAAGAAATCACTGATTTTCACACTTTACACAGAGAGACGCATTTTTTGACAAAGCATAGAATGGTGAATAAATCTAGGGAAAATATAAGAAGTAGAGGGAGGGGAGAATCTGAAATACAACATATTCAGACTCTGGAGCTGGCTTTTGGGGACAAAGAAGATACTCAATTTAGTCTTTCTGTGCCATGTTGACAGAGATGAGATATTCCTGTGTGATTCTTATGTCTGAAGCGAAAAAGTTCTAGTTCTCAATGTAAGTGATACAGAAAGGCATAAAATATTGTTACTATGACTATTTCCCCCTTTATTTTAATTCTAATCTTCCCACTGTAAGGGTGGTTCTGAAGATTAATAGATGAAGAAAACATGAATGTATGTGCAAAACAAGTGCTGAACTATATACACTTATACATAAGCAGTTTAAAATAAAATAAAATAAATCCTAGATGGATGCTTCCTTTTATTTTGCATGAATAAAAAATATGCCAAGGGCCTTCCTGCCATTTTAAATAAAATTGCATACCATAGTAGCTTTTCATAAAAATAAACCGCCAAAAAAAGTACTGCATGGAGGGGGAAACAAGCTATGCATGAAACAAATCAAGAACACTGAGGTATAGAAGCAAAAATCACAGAAACAGTGTTGTCCTATTGTAACATTTAGTGAGATTTCTAGGAACACGTTTCCAGCTAAAAACTTGGAGCAAAGAGCATTTCACCATTCATTACTTGATGAAAAAGTGTCTCTTCAAATTAGAATGGCTATGTTAAATTCATGGCTTACACTACAGCTGCTATTTTTAAAAGGAAAAAAGGGGAGAGGCTGTTAATTAAATCAGTTTGCCAAAATGCAATAACCCTTGCAGATTTGAGGACTACCTATTAAAACAAGTCTCACTGGGCCAAAGCACCACAGAAACGAGGTATTGTATCATCAACGCAAAACACACCCGGGGAGGAGAGAAGGCTCCTGATCCAGCTTTTATTTGCACTTGGGGTGTGTGTGTGTAAGAGGAGGGAGAGATCAAACAGGACAGAAGCTGGAGGTGAAGAGGCCCTCTGGCTGGCTTGCACACCCTCCCTGGCGTTGCTACTCTAGCCTCAGCTCCACACCATATTCTCAAGGAGCCAGTTTAGTGATCCTTATGTCTGAAGCAAACTTAGAGGATGTGATTATTATGATGCCATCCAGTAAGTTATTCAGGAAATGAGTCTGACAGGATATTCCGAAGGACTTAGGAGTAATGTTCTCTAATAAAAGCCTCTCCAGCCCTTTAATTTTCTGATACATGTCACAAAGCCCTTTTGCAACTGGGGAGGGGTGGGGGTGGGCGTCTCAAAGAGGCCTCCGTGAAAAACACCCCAAAGAAAAGGACGGTAATGGGACTTCGGCTAATCAGAAAAATGACCTGGAGCCCTTTTTCTCCCATCCAGGCGGTTCCAACTATGGCGGACCACAGTCCCGAAAAGTCAGAAAAGAGCTTCTCCGCCAAAGTCTTAAGCAGGAACTACAAGGAAATGCTTTGCTTCTTTCTCCATAAACTTTCAAATTTGACTTGCGTTCTAAAACATTTGTGCAAATTTGCGGTTTCTGGGATCTTAATGCTAGTTTTCTTTTTCATTGTTTTTAAGAGAAAAATCTGCAGTTCTTTATATTACCTGGACCTTTTCCCTGATTTAAAAAAAAAAAAAAAATCAGGGACGACTAATGGAAACCTGGTGAGCCAAGAGTTAGCTGGCGAGCACAGCTTTTGCGTCTCTCCTCTCTTAACACGGGGGCACCCTTACATACTAAAGATCTTTAGATTTCGCTCGCCATTTCGCTTCATCCTCACTTGGTTTTGCAAAGCCAGGGCGTTGTAGCCGCTATATCTAAAAACGATAGGGGGGAAAAAAAAAGCTGTCTTTTGACTGCTTTTTATTTGGGGGAGGGGGATGGAAATAGATAAAATTAAAAAAAAAAAAACACCACACTGAAAAATGACTCGACGCTGTACCTGGTGTTTAAAGAAAAGTTAAACTAGTCAAACAGATTGAAGAAAGGAACACAGAGAATGGGGAAAACGAATAAAAGCCTTCCGAGTAGACAGGGGTGGGACGCGGCCGCTCCGGTTCGAGGTCCATCTTAATTCCCTTCGGCCTCGGATCTCGGGGTCGGCCCCGAGCACCCGCACCCGCACCCGCATGAGGAGGGGATCTCCAAGAAAAGAGAAACATCCTCGAAACTTAAGCGCGAGTTCTTTGCCCAGCTGTGGCGATTCCGAGCCCAGATCTCCTTTCGCTTCCCTTGGCACCGCGTGCGGGCAAGGATCCCGACCTCGGCGCGGGGAAGCGCTACTCGGAAACCGGCGGCGAGCGCAGCCTAGGTCTCCAGCCCAAGCCGGCGCCGTCCTGGCTCGAGCTGAAGGCAGGCGGAGCCCCTCGGGGCGGGTGGCGCCGGGGCGGCTCAGGTCCCCGGGCATCACGGCGCAGCTCCGCCGCCCGAGCCCGGAGAGTCAGGGGTGAAAAGTACAAAGGCGGGCGGCCGGGCAGGAGGGAGGAGGGGTGGGTGGTGGCGGGGCCTCGGGCGCGCCAGACGCGAGGAGCCCGCCCGCCCCTGCGGCCCCTGCCACCCATGCCCGGTCGCCGCCGACAAAAGACCCCCGACTCCCTTCCGACCGCGGGCGCCAAGCGAGGCAGCCGCGCGCCTCCAGGGCTGCATTACCTGGTCGCCAAGGGTTAAGTGGTCCTGTCAGCCCCAAGTTCATGGTTTGGTTCCAAAGCAAGGCTCGTGGTGGGGGGATCGTCACAGACCAGGGGTAAAATCAGCCAAACACGAAGAGAAAACGCCCAACTCCGACCGGGCTCGGTCCGCGCGGGTCTCGGCTCCTTTCTTGGCGGAAGTCTGGAAGCGAGTGCACGCGAACCAAATCCCAAACGAGCAGCGGCTCCGGGGCGGCCGAGCGCCCGCGCCGCGCGTACATCCAGCGCGGCCGAGGCCAGGCGGGCAGCCGGCGGGCGGCCGGGAGAGAGCGCCCGGCCCGCGTTCGCCCAGCTGCCTCCCGGCTGCTCCTGCGGCGCGCGGGGCCGGCGGGGACTCGAGGGGTGTCCCGGACGAGGCGGAGAGGAGCGGCCCGAGCTGCGGCCTCAGTGCGTGGAGCTAAGAGCGAGGCGGCGGCGGCGGCGACAGGACAAAGGAGACCATGTGCAGAGGGGAGGAGGGAGAGGGAGGAGGAGTGCGCGCGGCGGCGGCGGCAGCTTCTCCCCGGCGGCCGCCTTCGGCTCCCCGACTGCCGTTCCCGCCTGTCTAGCTGCCCCGCGGGCGGACCAGTCCCCGTCCCGCCGCCGCCACCGCTGTTGCGGCGCTGGAGGAGACGCTCCGGGAGTCCTTAATCGGGGCCGATTTCTCCGGCGCGCGGCGCGGGCGGCGCTGCAGCGTTCGGGGCGCCGGGCGGGCTGCGCGGAGCCCGCGGCGACTCCCGGCCGGAGCTCGCGGGCAGGCGGGAGGGAAGCGCCCGGGGCTGGATCGGCTCCGGCCCGCGCTCCGCTCGCGGGCGCCTGCCTTTCCCGCCGGCTCGCCGCTCAAGTGAACTCCATCGGCGGCCGCCGCCGGCGCCGCAGGATCCCTGGCTGGACGGGTGGCGGGTGGGGGCGGTGGCGGCACGGGGCCCCTGGCTCCGGACTTCGCTCCCCGACTGTGCCGAGCGCGCTTGCTCCACACGCTCGCAGCCCTCGGAGCGGGACTTCCTCGGCGCGCGGAGCCCGAGCCGCCGGTGCCACCGCCCCTCCTCCGTCCCGCCCCGCGCGCCCCGCCCCTCGCCACCCCTCCTCTCGGCCCGGCGCCGGGTCGGCCCCGCGGGGGCGCAGTCCCCGGGTGCGACATCGACAGCTGTCGCTGCTCCCCCCGCGGCTCGGCCCGAGGTCCCCATGGCCGCCTTCCCGGCGGGCGGGCGGGCGGGCGCGGCGGGAACTGCAACGCCCCGCGCCCTCCCCACAGTTGTCGCTTCCAATACTGCGCTGCGGCTGGGGAAGGCCACTAGGCCCACGGTCTAGGCCGGTCACGTCGGTAAAGAGCAGGCTCTCTGGGCGGTTCCGAGGGCTCGATGAGAAAGT